TGTGTGTATATATATATATATGTATATATATATATATATAAAATCTTTTCTAAAATAAGTTATCCCATAAGAAAAAACAACTCCTGAACTTTGTGCAGCGTCTTGTTTGCAGTCCAGCTATTTTGTTTCACACTTCACAACCCTATCATGACCCTTTTTGCACATCACCCATTCAGTTATTTGTTAATTTGGCTCAAAGAAAGAACAAGTAATTATTAAACACCTATTGATTTTTTTTTATGTTAAGCCTTATATTCAAATAATAGCCTGAAAAGTTTGGTTGATGTTAACATGTCTCAATATTAATAATAAAAAAAAAAAAGGTAAAATCGTGTCATCTGGACCAGTTTCTTTAAGTGAGAAACACAGCAGTGAAGGCTACCTATGGGACAGATCTGTTTGGCAGGCTCTAGACTGAGGAAGTCCTCTGGATGGGAGATGAAACATTGCTCACTTAAAGCAACTGGTCCAGACGACACAGTTTAACCTTTTTTATTATTATCTACCTGGACGATTGAGCTTACAACACTATGTCTCAATATGTTTTAACAAGCTCAAACATACAAATATGTATGAGCAAATATACTTATTTTTAAAAAGTTAAATGTCTCTCCTGTTCAGTTTCTTTCTGAATGTTGCAATATTGCTAATCAACAAAACATGGATAAATATGGATAAATCTTTTTCAGTACCCTCCTCCAGCACATTTAACCACTCTGTTTGCTTTGAGCCTTTGTCACATTAAGTGCTTTTACAAACCAATTAGGCATGCGGATGTGGGAGATGCACATCTTTGCATTGATTCATCAACATTCTTTCAATTCATTGCCCATTTTTCGTTCAAAATGGAAGAAATTGTTTGTTTACAACCAATGAACGCTTCTTGTTCCTATTTCAGAAAGACTGCATCATTAAATATATATAAATTAAAATATAGAAAGAATTAGTTTGGACCAAGAAAAGTAAAGAAATATTTTGTTAATCACAACGTGCTTAATGCTTAATCAGTGTAAATAGTTATATATTATATATGTATTTAAGACTTATAATTTTCCAGAGGAAGAAAAAAAATGTCTATTTGCTGAAACCACAAACATTTGTAGCAATTTTATATACACAGACAAAAAACAAAAGTTCATCACAAAGCACAATAAAATTCATCAGATATTTTTATAATACTGTTTGGGTTTCAACATGTTTTGCTGTAAACGGTGACGTTATTACACAATAAAACATTTTTCTTTTAATTGCAGATTGAAATTAATTCTCATACAATCATCTTTTTTGTTCCATGTTGTTTGCCACCAAAACAAGATTCAGATTATTTTAAAATAAGAAATGGACTTTTAAACTACAAGGAAGATCTAAAAGGATCAAATTAAGACAATATTTTGTTCCTTATTATACAAGTAAATTGTAAATAGCATTAGGTAATAAGAGTTAATAGCAAAATAATATATGCTGGTAAAGAATGGGGTTTAGGTCTTCAGAGGCTGCTTGTGACAAATAATTCAAATAATTGTAACATTGCTGTTTTCTTCCACAGATCCCAGACTCATTAAGGTTCTGAGTGTGTGTGGAAGCATCCTGTGTCTTCTCGTGTTGTTTCTGGGGCTATGCTGCGCCATTCAGTAAGTTTCAGTCAAATTGTGAACAAGAACATTCAATGCAAAATATCTTCAAGACTTGTCGCAGTAAGAATGATGTTCATGTCAATAAAATGTTAAAAGAAAAATAAATCTTATTGACTGTTAATATGATTTATAGGTGGAGGAAGTTTAAGGAAAAGCCTGTGCCAAATCCAGGTCTCAGTTCTGTGGCCAAGTGGCTGTCGCAAAATCATCAAAAGGTAAATTCATATAATTCATTTAGATGAAGTGCTGTATGTAAAATGCAAAAATTCAGTGTGAATGCTTATTGCTAAAGAATTGGCTGAAAAACAGCTGAAATCAGCAAAAAACAAAACAAACAAACAAACAAAAAAACAAACAAAAAAAAAAAAACAGCTGAACAGTAGATAAAATTACAGAAAGAAGCTTAAATTACTAAAAGGAAGTGGCAAGAGCACAACTGTGGCCAGATAGGCCGAAAGAAGCAGAAATGAGCACAAAAAAGTGGAGAAAACCCACGCATGCATGGAGAGAACATGCAAACTCCACCCAGAAAGGCTCCTGGACCGGGATTTGAACCAGGGACCTGCTCGCTGAGAAGCAGCAGCTCTACCAGTTGCATCACCGTGCTGCCCTAAACAATACAGTAAAGGAAAATCTATTTGAGTTGAAGACGTCTTGTTAATCTGATATTTTTCTGCTTTTGAATAACCTCATACATTCCCATGCATCATCTTCCAATTCATCTTTCAATCTCACTCGAGAACAAGACCCTGAGATACTTGAACTCCTCCACTTGAGGCAGCAACTCACTCCCAACCCGGAGAGGGCAATCCACCCTTTTCTGACTGAAGATCATGGCCTCAGATATGGACGTGCTTATCATCATCCCAGCCGCTCCAGTGAGAGCTGAAGATCATGGCACGATGATGCAAACAGGACCACATCATCCGCAAATAGCAGAGATAGAATCTTGATGCTACCAAACCGGATTCCCTCCGCCCCTTGGCTGCACTGAAAACTTCTGTCCATAAAAGTTATGAACATAATTGGTGACAATGGGCAGCTCTGGTGTAGTCCATCTCCCACTCTGAAGAGGTCCGACTTACTGCCAGCAATGTGAACCAAACTGTTGCACCACTTGTATTGAATGGCTCGCAGCAACAGACCCCCAATCCCATCCTGATAAAATACCCCCTACAGTGTACCTCGAGGCACATGATCTTCTCCAAGTCCACAAAACACTGTCCACTGTTTGGGGAAACTCACAGGACTTTTGGAGGAACCTGGTAAGAGTAAAACGTTGGTCCAGTGTTCCAGAGTGTCAGGGTTTATCAGGCAGGAATGAACCCAATAGTTTCAGGCAGGGACTCGACTCAGAAGATACAAAAATTAATACTTTAATGACAATAAATTAAATAGCTGACGAGGCAGCAACTTACAAAATATACTCGGGACTGGATCAGACTGGCAGGACAAGACAGGGTAGACCCAACGACGACACGACAATGAACAAGACTAACAGACAGACTATATACCCAGACAAGACAGGACGTGATTACAAACAGCTGGCACGAGACAAGGGTGAAATTAATTGGATAAATGATGAGACACACAAGGGAGTACAGAAAAGGAAGGCCCTCAGATGGTGCCATCCTTACAGTTGTATTGTTTTTGTGAGAAAAATAATCGTATAAGTCTGAAGAACAACAAACAATAGGCAGTTTGGTTAGCCATTAGCCATTAGCCTATAGCTTCAACAAAGACTTTTGCCTCTTTCACCATACTCAGTGCTCTTTGACTGTTGTCACAGCTGATACTAACTATTGATAATTATTTGACCAAACATTGCTTCATAAATGACTGGACTGTTCCTTTAAGTCCCCTTTAAAACATTTTTTTTTTAAATAACAAGATTTGCATTCTTCAACTCTATCTGGCCAACAATGCTCTGAAACGTAAGGGACTGCATATTATCACAGAAGACAACTCAAGTTTGGCATTTTGCATTCTTGAATGGCAGGTTCAAACGGTAAAAATACTTTATTAGCATTGGAAAATAAACTGTACATAACATCAATAATAATACTTATATTTTGGGGGATTTCAACATCTCATAAAGACAGAAAAAAATGCAGCAGACAATGTAATGCAGTTTTATGATTTCTAATGATAATTTTTTATATACAGTAGTCCCTCGTTTATCGCGGGTGTTCCGTTCCTAGCCTCCCTGCGATAAGTGAAAAACCGCAAAGTAGGAATAGTAGTAAAAGTAGTAGTAGTTTATTTTTGTATATATATATATATATACATATATATAAAGGCGTTTTAAACCCTTCCCACACTCTTGCAATATTCTAAACAATGTTTCTAAACTCTAAACGCTCTAAAAGAGCACAGACAATCATGATTTCAGCTCTCTGCCACCTGCCAGTGCTCTTGGCCACGCCCACTTCTCCGCTGCAATCGCTGGCAGGTGGCAGAGAGTGGAGATCATGACATGCTGCAGGAGGGAGCTTCTCCCTGAACCTGTGGGCTGCAGGTGCAACAGGTGCTAAATCATTTAAAATAATTCATTTTAAATAAACAATCCATGCGGCTCATGCAGCTCATCCATCAATCAGCCAATTGTGTGTCATGTTCAATCTTATTTTTGAAAAACCGCGAATCTGCGAATGTCGAACCGCGAAGTAGCGACGGACTACTGTTAGTTCAAAATGAAGACGAATGTTTTCTGGTGCAAACGGTCTCTTGCTAAAGAGTTGACATCCATTTTTTGATTAATCTTTTTAACATCTGATATTTGTTTCCCTCTTGTTCTCTGTGGCTGTTTCAGAAGTTGTGGTTGTTCCAGCCATTCACTCATCACTCTGAAACCATCTGTGACCAGGTCCACACGGAGGAAATTCAAAGTGAAAACACACTTTCAATCACTCCCAATCGTTACGCTAACAAAGCCAGTGACCACACAGATGATTATTGCAACCCGTCCGCCACTTTGACTTCAAATGCATCGGATGACAATGCATTCGATTCTACAGAGACACAGCTCCTGTCTTCTCCAGGAGAATCCATTTCATCCTTGTCCACAGAGAGCAGCTCCATGAATCCATATCGAAGCCAGAGCTCAGTGGAAACCTCAATGCCAAGAACTAAAAAACAGAGTCAGGTCGATTCAGTCAGACCGCACGCAAAGACATCGCCAAAGAGTGTATATGTCAGTTTAAACATGTTGGAACAAGGTAATGTTAGGTGAAAACAAAGCACAGGATGAGTCATACCGCTCTGAAGATGGGGCTGTTTCTATGACAGCAGGCAGACTGATTGGAAACTTGCGTGTCAGTGGAGATAAATGTGGGTTTGAAGGCCAGACATTTATATTGATACATCTCAACGCTTTCAACTGTTCATCCCATAGCAACTGCTTGTTGATCTCATGTATGGGGCTGGAATTAAGGTGTGCAGCTTTGACAATATTTACTCCAACGTAGACTTTGGATCAGTTCTCAAAACAGGTTTTGCAACAGAGCAAATGTTTGATTCACAAAGCAGAATTGTACTCTTTAACACATTGTGTCAAAATGTTTCACAGTCTGTTGTCCAACTATCTTAACTGAAGTGATATGTTTATTTAACTGTATGTTATAGCCTTATTTCCTTTTTGTTTACACAGATATAAGCTAAAATAGTTGTCAGTGTTTTATTGAGTTATAATATGTAATACAGTTGTATAATTTTTTTTAAAGTAATGCATGCCAATGTGTGTGAAATGGTCAGGAGTAAACACAAATAAACATCGGATGGAAGGCTGTTTGTTTTATTCCCATCTCTATCTGTGTGTATGTGCTGCTTGGTGGGAGACAAACTGCACAAATATAAAACAAACTTCTAAAGATAATGGATCCATGAGAAATACACCGCAATATGAATGAAATATATCAGTTTTTTCTTAATTTTGTAGAAACATTCACTAGTCATTTAACAGCATTCATTTTTGGAAAATAGGTTTATTAACCACTATAAATGACAAGAAGAATGTACACTTTGCTAACAAAACACACACCTTTAAGCAAAACTGATATTTTACTGATTTGTATCAATTTTTTTCTCCTTATACCTAAACTAAAAAGTATTTAAACGAGAAAAAGCTAAGTTTCAAACTCTGAACATAGCTACAAACGCTTACATTACTTCCGGTAATTAAAACCTAAACGTAAGGTCTAATGTTGATTATTGCATGAAAGATGTTTGTCTTTCAAAATGTAGTCTATATTACAAAACAATTTAAAATATGGCCACGATTTTTCAAGTTTAAAATCAACAATAAACTTAAGTTTTTAGATGTTACAAAATAAATTAAAATGTTTTGTCACACAAATAAAAAATAACATTTTAATATTTACTATTAAGTTAAACAAAGCATATTGTATATTTGTATTTTTTTTGTATATTTTACTGTATGTTTTAGGAACTATGTTTACTGTTCGTTCATAAACATACAGATTTTCACTCAACATTTTAGTCACTGCTGTATATGGTTAATTTTTGTTTTTATTTATTTGCATTTTAATGTGACGGACTTGTGACCTGTCCAGGGTGCACCCCGCCCCTCACACAGTGATTGCTGGACATGGGCACCGGCGACCCCCGTGATCCAAAATGGAAGAAGCTGGTAAAAAGATAATGGATGGATGGATGGATGGATGGATGGATGGATCTTGTGTGCTTCTATTTGCCTATCACTTTGTTGCTTAGACCCTGGAATTTTCTCACTGAGTGACAATGAATACAATAATTACAAATAATAAATAAATAAATACAAATAATATTTTATTCTATTCTATTCTTATCTAGTCTAGTCTATTCTAGTCTATTCTATTCTGTTCTGTTCTGGTTCTGCACGTTTTTGTGGTGTTATGTCATATTTGTACCAGCAGGTGGGAGCATAACGTCAAGCGGCAGCATAACTACAAACAATAACAAGAAGAAGAAGAATAGCTACATGGATTAGCATAAGCTAACTAGCTGGTTTGATTACAGATGTAAATCAAGCCACTTGCTAGCATTGTGATTTGTAGGAAAACAAACGAAAAAGATTTCGCTATTTTTCGGTCAGTGGCATTTTAGACATTTTAAGAGTCTGTATGTTTCGTGTGAATTCCCTCCCGCCCGCCACAATGCTGAACGGGCTGGAGCTCATTGGATGAAACTCCTGAATCAGCAGCGAAAGGGCCTCGAATCCGCGGCGCTTGGGTGCACGGTTACCCGGGACCTGGGACACTAAGCCACGGGCTAGTTGGTGATACAAGCGCCTTATTTTGACCCTTCTCAAATATGTCGCAACCAGGGCCCCCTCCTCGATGGCGTAACTGTCCTAGGAGAGGTCAACCTGTGGCAGGTGAGTACAAACACCCCAGTTTTTTGTTGTTATTTTTTTTTTTTTTTTTTTTTTTTTTTTAACAAAAAAGGGTTAAACCAAAGTCAGTGTTGACTATCTGACTCAGTCAGATGATTCTTTCAGTGAAGGGATTCATCTCGTGGGCAGGCTTCTTCTCTCTTGAACTTGAACATTATCCGGTTTTATTTCTCAAACCTTTTAAAAGAAGGAGCAAAATTTATTTTTGGCTCGTTGTTTACATCTCAGGTAAACACAGGGTTACTCCTTTTCAAAAGGCAACTGTTATTAAATAAAGCAGAAACTGGTCTGATCTTGATTGCCGAAATCACATATTCACAAAAACTTATTATATTGACCAAGGATGTTTTATAAGTAATTTAGTTTGTTATTATTTTTTAACGATATGTCTTTAAATGTATGTGTTTTTAAATGGAGGTTGGCGTGTCACTGGATTTGTTGATGTTAAATTCAGCTGAGGTTCTCAATGAAACCCTTTGTTATTAATTCATAGTTGAGAAACAAAATATTACATTAAATGATGGCTAAGTATTCAAATGACAGAGAATAGTTATCACTTAAAAAATCAATTAATTATTAAATTCAAGCTTGTTTCCACTACTGCGATTTTATTAAGTTTTAATTGTGATCATTAATAATTATGATGTAAGAGGTCATAAGTAGATATTTATGATTTAATACATCCTAATTCTGGTTTAACATCTTGTGTTAATAGATGCTAAGTCAAAATAATGAGACATTACCTCATAATTAGTAACCTGACTAAGACTTAGTACCTTTCATTTACTGCATGGTAGCTCATAATTACAACCTACTTATGACTTAGTATATCATAATAATTATAAGCTACTAAGTTATAAATATGAGATGACAATATGTTTATGTCCAGGTCTAAGTCTATTGAGGTGTTATTTATTGCTGATGCCAGTTGAAATCAGGGCAACACCAATATTAAATTATTTAAAAACCCTTAGAATAAGTCATACACTTAAAAAAAAGTGTATGGAAAAACATTTTGGCAAAACAAAACTGGTTATTGCAGCTGCTGCACCAGCTCCCCTTTCACACTTGGAAAATGAAGATGGTGCGACAGCTGCATGGCTCACTGAGGATGATAAAATTGACCAAAATCGGCTGATTAATCGATCTTCTCGTATATTTATGACATGGTAGCTCATAATTACCGCTTGCTGTCTTAAAATTACAAATTTCTTACAAGATGCTAAGTCTTATGAGACTTATATTAAATTTATGACTTGTAAAACAGCAAGTATTAAATTATCTGATTGAAAGTTTGAAACCCTTTCTGGTTAAATGAATTAATTTAATTTAATATTAGCTCTGGAAAACATTTAGGCAGTTGTGCAGAGCACACAAGACAGCCAGCAGCCTCTAACAAATCTTGTTAAGCAGTGAAATAATGGAGGGAATAGCTAAGTATGACCTTGAATTTAACTTTGTTATATAGTGAGTAAGAGTAGAAACCATGTAAACAGATATTAAAAATCCAAACACCTGGCTGAGAGTGTTAATGAATACTTTGACAGGATAATGCTGTAAAGCCCTACAGGGATAGATGGTTGTCTGTAAATTCACAGTAAAAAAACACCAAACTTGACAGTTCCACAAAGTAAGTCATGATAAAGTTATTTGAGCCTCGGGATTTCCTTCCTGAAGCATCGTTGTATTGAATGCAAGCATTCTATAAATTTATCACGTTTTCTAAAGAGTCGGCTTTATTTAAGGTACAGAATTGAAATAAATGTTTATGAGATGGCTTTATTCTTCAATTTTCCCTACAAACATTTAAAATAAGATTTTAACACATGTGTTTTTTTCAGTTTCTAAACAATTCAGAGAGGTTAAGGAAAGCAGAGATTATCTTGACTATAAAAAACAATAAATGCACAACAATGGCAGCTTAATGGCTTATATATATATATATATAGATATATATACATGTATGTATTTTTTTCCTTCTTAGGTAAATTCCTGCCCATGAAAACAATGTTGGGTCCAAGATATGATGATCAGGTTGCTGAGGAGAACAGGTTTCACCCAAGCATGCTGTCCAACTATTTAAAAAGTCTTAAAGTAAGAAATTCAGCTAAAACGGAAATGATTAACTTCTATTGATAACCTTTATTTCATAATGTGTATATATATAAAACTTTTTTTTCCAGGTGAAAATGTGTTTGCTTGTAGATTTGACCAACACAACTCGCTTTTATGATCGCAACGACATTGAAAAGGAAGGAATCAAGCATGCAAAGCTTCCATGTAAAGGGTATGAGCAGATTTATTGTCACAAAGTAAACTAATTCTTCAGATTTTCTATGTTAGGGTTCTTTTAAGGGTAATGCTCTGATAACTGTCTTCCTGTATGTCTAAAGCCACGGGGAGTGCCCTTCAAAGGAGACGACTGCATCTTTCATTAATCTTTGTGAGAGTTTCATAGAGAAGAACCCCACAGAACTGATAGGTAAGTACTTCCTTATGTACTTGTTCTGATATTGCTTTTTATTTTGGTCATTTACTTTCAGCGTTTAGCTGTCACAAGTCTTCTCAAAAGATCTGTGCACTTCTTGTGGACACTCAGCTGGTGGTTTAGATTGTTTAATCTATTAAATTAGTTTAGAATACATAATAGTTGCTAGTAGAAAATACTAGATTAAAACATATTCTCCTGGAAAATATATCAACAGTTTAGTTTTTTTTTTAATCACCATTTTTTTGTCTTTCTTCGGTGGGAATCTTTGGAGTATGTTTATTAGTTTGGCTCAGAAAACAGACGAAGTATAAAAGCACCTGCTGTACATAAATTGAATTGTATAAAGCTCAAAAGTTCCCCATATCCAAAATGTGGTTATTAATTAAGGGAAATACCTCTGGTTGGGATGGTATCTAGCAGACATGTGGATGGTTTGGATGAAGCTATTATTTTTGACAATTCAGAGAGCTCAACAGGACAAAAACAGTCCAAACATAAATCAGGTTCTAGTGACATTTCTAAAGCTGCATCATTTGACGGGGAATCAGAGGCGATAGGAAGGATGATGTGAAGTTTCTCTAATTGAAATAAATTTATTTCTAAAGAATCTCTCGAAGTCAACACTGCTTATAGCTGTAGGGATACACGAGTCAACAGAGATGGGACTTTTCATTAGTTTAGCTAAAGTACTGAACAGAAACCTGGGGTTATTTTTATTCTCATCAAAGATGAATGATATACAGTTCTAGCTTTACAGAGGGCTTTCTTATACAGTGCATCTGTAAAGTTTTCACAGTGCTTCACTTTTTCCACATTTTGCCTTATTTCAAATTGTATTAAATTAACCTCTTTCCTGAAAATTCTACAAACAATACTCCATTATGACAATGTGATTTTTTTTTTTTTAGATTTTTGCATTTATTTAAAGAATATAAAACTAAGAATTTACTTTTATGTAAGTACTCACAGCCATGGCCATGAAGCTCAAAATTGAGCTCAGATGCATACTTTTATATACTCTCCATCTGTGAACGGCTTCCTGTGCCTGACTATTTACTGAGCGGCCACAAAACTAGCATACATGTATGTAATTGAATTTGCAGACTGCATCCACTGTTTGAAATTATTTTTGCTTTATTTATAATTTTTAGAGTTGTTGTTTTTTTTCCTTAATTGTGCAGTCAGTATCTCAACAATTAAAATGCAGAATCCTCAGTAGCTAATAGTAAAGAGAAAGCACATTTATTTTAACAAAAGTTTAATAACGAGTTTCAAATTCTGTGTATAAATATTAAACTAGTATTAACATTCAATCGATACTCATTTTGAATACTGGTAGTTTCAGAAAAAGCATCTTAGTTTTATTAAGTAAAATCAAAAAGGATTTGTGTTTATATTTTACACAGAAAGGTTGAAATTTACAGCTTAAAACATAAAAAATATAACAATTTTCTATAAGTACTTACACTCAAGGACAGTTATTTTTTTTATTAAATGGGAAAATAAAGTAAAAAAGACAACAAACATCAAACTGCAGTTAGTTTTCTAGTTCTTTTAGTGCATTCTCTTTGTTGCCCAGCAGAGAGCAGCTTTACTCCAGAGATTGATTAGTGGCATGATAATCTTCACCAGCATTAAAGTCATGATAGTGTATTTTATTTTGAAAAGGAAGAAACGGGTAAAGATGGATGGATGTTCAGTTTTTAAATCAACATGTTTTCTACATGTTCAGTTATAATAATGGAGTTATTATTTAGGCTGTTTGCTGAATCAACACTGTTCAAAAAGTTCAAGACAAAAACAACTTGACTTTATTTTGTAACTGAAGATGTTTCGCTTCTCATCCGAGGAGCGTTCTCAATTCAAAGAACAGAGCATGGGGTTTGAGTTATAAAGCTAAGATAAGCTAGATACATATGCAGATTGCCCTATCACTCCTCACAATAGGGGTTTGTTAGGGTATTTGTTAGTCTGACTCGCCATAACTTGTTCTGATGGTTACGCAGCATCTCCATGTGAAAGCTGGAGTTTTCTTCTCGTGGTTATGTTGGAAAAACAAGGGTGAAGTTTGCACTATGTTCAAATCAATATGACGTAATTAAAAAAGAAAGAATCATTAGACAAAAGTTGTTTCTCCAGGTGAACTCTGTGTAGGTCATTTAAGTGTGAAGGAATATCATTTGGGGCTGAAATAAATTGTATTTGGTTTATTTTTTACTGAAGATATGAGTGTGTGCGTGAGCATATGCAGTTCTGTGATACGTGCATGTTTGAAGTTGGACTGACTTGGATTTCCATTTATTGAGTTTTTACTTCAGTTGTTATCAGTACCGCTTGTTCAAATCATGTTTCTAATAGGTAAGTTGATAATAGTTGGATTACAAAGTGTATAATTTTCTTTATTGTCAGTGTAAGGTATTGCAAAATGAGATTTGCATTATATTTTCAGTTTAAAGGCTGCTTAGGCAATTAAAACCAAGGTTGCAGTTTCAGGCTTGCAGCAGCAGGGGGCACTCTTACACTCTGGATTTCCTTTTCAACTGCAGCCTGTCTTACAAATGGAACAGTCTGAGCTTTGGAGCAGAATGTCTGCATGTAATCTCAACAGTTTCCTGGCCATAGCCATCTGGTGATCCAGGTTTGTTATCTTTGCAGAACACACGTCCAAATTAAACAGCTGGGCCACTTAATGCAGTCGCCAATGTTGGTTCATTTTGTCTGTGTTAGCTTTGCTGGTCAATCTTTCCCACCCAGACAAGTGTTCGAGTCAAATGTTTTGATTGTGTGTGGTTTGAATTCTCCCTGTTCACCTGCTGAAGACCATGTGTTTGGGGAGAAAATAGGAAAACGGTGAAGGTTTTTGTTTGAGAATATGTTTTTGCATTACAGAATTATCTTTCTCGTCTTTTAAAAAAAAAATTGGATTTTCTTATTTTGTTTGTTTATTTGTTGCGCCCTTATTGTTAGCACTCCCTGAGAGTCTCTGGGTCTCTTGTGTGTTTCCAATGACTGGTTTCAGACACATTTTTGATGTGGGGATAAAGACAAGACCCCCCCTCTGAGGAGGTTCATGCCCCTATTTAATACATGGACTCATTTCAAAGAGCACCGATGCCATTGATTTGTGAGGAGACCCTGGATGAAAATGCTGAGTGACCATAACCAACGATTTCATCCATTGCTGTTCAAATAATAAAAACTTTATCCTATTTTACTAATTGTATTGATTATGTCAAGACTCTAAGCATAAATATGAAAAATGTTGCTTTGTGAGGCGCTTTTCTCTTAGTGGGATATTTTTTAACTTTTTTTTTTTGTCTCCTTTAGGTGTTCACTGCACGCATGGCTTCAATCGAACAGGCTTTCTGATATGTGCATACCTGGTGGAGAAGATGGACTGGAGGTGAGGGCTGACACTCTCTGATCACTCAAACATGTATGGGGGTACTTGCAGAAGCCTCGCAATTGTCTCGCTTGGTAACTCTGCCCATTCAACACAGTCTCTCCAGTGGATTTTAACTCCGGTTTCATTCTCCTGCTCATGTCAGGATTTTTTTTAAATTTTTTTACTTCGCTGCTCCAATATGTGTCATGCCACAAGAGTGTAATCTGTCAGCAGCAATCAACACAAAGCCTCACGGGTGGCTTGAGAGGTAAAGAGCGACCAGGTTTGTCACAGGGAAATAATTTTAACCAGCTGAGCAGAAAGGGCGGGATGCATCTTTGCTCAGAGGTTGGGCGGCCGACAAAGACAGCAGGTTCTCTGGAGACGTGGAGGCTGAATTAAACCCTCCCACCTCCCACAGTTTCCTGTGCAACGAATATTCTCAGACCATTTTCAGCTGTCATCCACTATTAATGTGGTGCAAGATAATTCAGCTATTAAACTGTCAGCGTCGGTCTATTTTTGTTATTGATTTTTGGTCTGTTGTTGGGCTTAGAATCACTTTAAATCTTTATGAAGTAAGGTGTTGTTAGGCTTGCATACAACAATGTTATGTTTTAAGATAAATTGCATCGCAAACACTATTTTCATAAATACGCAAAGAAAACATTTAGGGAGTGTCGTGGAAAAAAGGAGATTTCCAAACAGACCAAGGTGTAGTTCATCAGATTCATTTACAAAGCTTTGGAGAGCAGTCGAGCATTCACAGAACATGCAATTATAAGATTACACTGTTATCAGTTCTCTCATCCATGTGAAGCTGTGACCTGCTCTAACTTCCTGAACTGGACAAGTTAGTTTTATAGAATGACCTCCAGCCCAGGCCTCAGCTCCTCCCCTCCATGTCCGAGCCGGAATGGATCTGAGTCAAGGACTCTGCTTGAGACACGTCAGCATATCATAGCAACTCTGTCATAACAATATCGTATCAATCAGCCCTTGAGGATATCAAAACAGCCAGTTCTTTGTGTTCCTCACTGACTGGTCACAGTAGGAGTGATTACATGGGGCCGTTAATATCACATATCACAAACGAGCAAGACATTGCAGAACGTTCCCACAGGAGAGTTACTGATCATGATGAGTGCAAATAATACACATTACACTGACATTCCACCCCTTTGATCAATATTAATAATATTAATATTAAACAAAAATAATAAAAAAGGAATGTGTATAATCGCATGCTGAAAACAAACAACAAGAACCCACATATAAAGAAATCTCTGCAAAAATTATATATATATATATATATATATATATATATATATATATTTGTTTATGACGTAAAAATAGACTAGTCTGGGTGCATACATCTTTTTGATTATTCAGATTTATATAGGTGTCTTATATATAATCTTCATTAATCTGCACTTTCTGTCTTAGTGTGTACACACAGTTTTAGTCTTGGCATTAAATAGTTTTATGCGTCTAATTCCTGAAATTTGATCCCAGTGTGACATTTGCATTTGGAAGTTCTGCTCCCAGAACACGTGCTTTAAGGAGTTTTGTGCAGATTAAGTAAACCATCTCGAGGCTGCAAAACCAAAATTATATCCATTGAGAAATAGTGGGAACTATTTATGCTCCAGATGTTTTGTTGCACCGAACTGTGAAGAATCCCTGAAAGCTGTTAGCGAAAGGGCAGGAAATTGCGTTGACTGGTGACTGGATGAGCCATATGTCTGCCGTCGTCTAACAGTCCACCATGAAACGATCAGATGAACAAAACATAACCAGATGGTGAATCAAACTTCACTCATTCAGTTGAATAGATAACATCTTTTCAACTAAGAACAGCCTTCTGTTTTTTTTGTTTTTGTTTTAATGTCTTTGCAGTTCAAGTATTACTGGTGATATCACAGCATCCCGGCTACCAGTGCATGACCAACCCTCATGGACTGTTGTTGCACCAAAATATTAACAATGGCCTCAGGTATAGAAGGCTTAATGGTCCAAAGAATGCTTATGACATGAAACAGTTCTGCTATAGTCAAGATTTTGATTTATTCTCTTTAAAATCATTTTTGTGAAAAAGCAGTTTGGGTTAAACTCCAAATTTGTTTTCGTTCTGAACACGTTGGCTGAAAGGGATGGATTTTATTTTTGATCCTCTTTAATGGTTCTCTGATTCTGGCTTCATTTAGGAAAGCTTTCCTCATTGCGGGATCCCATAATTTATGAATTGGGTTTGAATGCCGGAGGCAGCGTAAAGAGAAGCTGATCTTTGCAGCAATACTTTCTGTTTAGTTAAAGCTGCCATGAAATGGGAGTAGGCCAGCCAATTGTTATTCTGAATAATAAACTGTCTGCTTAAAAATAGTCACGCAGCAAAGGCATGGTACAAGAACTGGACTGTTGCTCAGTGGTCCAATGTCCTCTTTTCACATTAAAGTAAAATTTTCACATCATTTATAAATCAAGGTCCCAGAGTCTGGAGGAAGAGTGGAGAGGACCAGAATCCACGTTGCTTGAAGTCCAGTGTGAAGTTTCCACTGTCAGTGATGGTTTAGGGTGTCATGTCATCTACTGGTGTTGGTCCACTGTGTTTTCTGAAGTCCACAGTAAGTGCAGCATCTCCCAGGACATTTGAGAGACTTCATGCTCCCTTCTGCTGACGAGCTTTAAGGCGATGCTGATTTTATTTTCCAGCAGGACTCAGCACCTGCCCACACTGACAAAGATACCAAAAGCTGGCTGTGGAACATTCTCATTGTCTGAGACACTGAGTTTTAGGTTTTCATTATTTCTAAGCCATAATCATCAAACCCAACTATGTTCAGTCAGGTCATCTGGATGGTTTCTTTTTGTGCGCTGAGACTTTTCACCTTCCATCCAGAAGGCTTCATCAATCTGAGGAAACGCCAAACAAAACTGCTTCTCCCCGAACAGCTTACTCCAAAGTGGGGGGAAAAAACCCAGTTATGTTGGTGCTAAGATGGCCTCTGGGGCGCGCCCTCTCTTCTGGTGCCCGCCCTCTCTCTCATCGACAGTCATGTCAAACTGGTTCAAAACACCAAAGTTCATGCTCAATAATCCAGGTATAAAATCCAACCATGTTCAGTCAAGTCATCTGGACGGCTTCTTTTATTTATTTATGTTTCGTGCTGAGACGTTTCATTGTTGGATATTATTGAGCATGGACTTTGGTGCATAATCATCAAAATTAAAAGAATAAAGGATTTTAATATTTCACTCTTAATATGAGTTTCACTTTTTGAAACGACTGAAAAAAAATTTTACTTTTTCACGATATTCTAATTTTTTTTAGATGCATCTGTATATAAACCAGTTTTGATAACAATTAATATGCTTCAGCGAAAACAGAAAACTTATCGATGTAGCTGAATTGTTTCTAGCGTTAATAATGAAGTTTTAGCCAAAACAACAATGCCTAGTCTGTGTTTTTCTTATCAGCGTCGAGGCAGCTGTGGCTGCTTTCGCCCATTCTCGGGCCCCTGGGATCTATAAGGGAGACTACCTCAAAGAGCTTTTCTGTCGCTATGGTGATGAGGAGGACACGCCCCCTGCCCCTGCACTGCCTGAGTGGTGCTTCGACGACGATGACGACGGGGAGATGGACGATGACGGTAACGCGGTTGGCCAGGAGTCTGGCCCCAGCTCCTCGGGGTCAGCACCGGGAAAAAGAAAGAAGGAGAAAGTAAAAGTGGTAAGAAGCACCATCTCAAGTAGGGGGATGAATAATCTACGCCCCTTTTCTGTTGCCAGCTTCTGTGTTGCAGCTGTAAGTTTATTAAGATAAATGCTGTGTGTTAGATTTCATCTAAAGTGTTCATCAGTTCATTTTAATGGAGTTAATAATAAGCTTTTTTTTTAAAACTGTTTACAACTATTTTTTTCACTATTTGGACTAAATCGAGCCACTGACTTAATAAGCACTTAGTGGAGGCAATGGAAATAAAAATGATCAGCTTATACTGCAGTTGCACCATTTGACCGAAATACAAGAGCAGCACGTGCATTTTTCACTTTTATTGCACTCGGAGCTTATTGAAAACCTGAATCAAAGCAAATCTAATAGTTGAGAATATCGTGCACCAGACACATCTAAAGGAGAACGCCGCCGCTGCAGCAGCTCTTCCAGACTAAAGCTCTCGACTGTCGTCAAGGAATGCTGTCTCTTGGCTAAGACGTCTGTCTCATCAGTTAAACCAGTCTGTGGTGGTTCGGTTGTTGGAGAAAGAAAAACGTCTGCTGAAATGCACCTCCTGAAGTATTTCTGCGAAAAGTAGAAACACTTGACTTTGATTTTTGATTTATATGTAGATTAATCAAGTGGGCTGTGAAACGCTTTCTGTCACGTTCCCCCCTCTGAGCCTTAAAGTTTAATCATCACGTCACGTAATATCTTAAACCTGATCAAAGCTCTGATTATGAATGCAGCTTGATACAATCAGCATACACTTCTGTTTTCAAGCGTCAGACTTTGAATTGTGGCTGTCACCTTTTTGCTTCTGTGTAAGCACTTTATGAGTTAGAGTTCATCCAGGATGGTAACTTGTTAATTACAGAGCAGCTCACTCTAAAGCCTCATCCTAGCTCAAGTAAAAGGGACATCTTTTATTAGTGAAGACTTGTTTTTGGGAAAAAAAACCTGTTGACTGAGGTAACAAACCAAGCTACTAGTGTTATTTTAAGACATACTGCACCTCCTTTGTAGTAAATAATACTGTTTTATGGGTTTACTCTAAAGCCCCTCTGCAGTGGTTCTTTAGGACCACACACATCCGATCTTGAGATGCTGTCCACAGTTTGTGTTGGGAAGTGGTTTTTGTCGTTCTGGCCGCTCAGAGATATTGGGTAATTTGCTGTGTACAAACGCATTTAAAAGGAAACTGCGATGGATCGCTGATGGTAATTTGCACAAGACAGTCACTTAAAGCCATTACCCATTATTAACAATATGAACTATAAAAAAAAAATTGCGATGATGTTCTAGTCAGCTTTTCTGCAGGTCCCTGTTAACAGACGCCTAAATGTTTTTATAAAGTTTATCAAGCAGTTGAACAACTATTACTAATATTAAACATTAAAAAATGGCAATTTATTTTTAGTTTCAGAGAATATTGATTAATTTAGTTTACTGATCAGATCAAACCCCCCATACTAAAAAGCAATGCTGATTGGTAATGGCAATGAATAATGTCAAATAAAAGTTTACATTTAGATATTGCTTATTTAGACAAATTGTTAAACTCACTTTATGCTCCTGTTTATTTTTCCTCCAAATTAATGAGTAAAAATGGGGAAAAAAAACTACCTACCTACATACATACATACATACATATATACATGCATACATGCATACATACATACATACATACATATATACATACATACATACATGCATACATACATACATACATACATACATACATACATGCATATATACATACCTACATACATACATACCTACATACCTGCATACATACATACATACATACATACATACATACATACATACATACATACATACATACATA